TAAGTCTAGATGCAAAGCATATTTCATGTGAAAACCTGAAATATTTTATACATCTAGACTTCTTGGTAATATGCTGTAGCTGAACAGTGTGTATTAAGTACAAAGTACAATGTTAGAAAATAAAGTGTAAAATATAATATTTCAGTTTGGCTTTGCTCCTGCAGTCGGTACCATCAACCATGTTCCAATTTGATTTGATATGAAACCAGTCATATCTATAGAAAGAGCACTTTCATATGATGAGCTTGTAACAGACATATTTTTTATATTTTGGGAAAATAAAGGAAATGTAGCCCATTTTATACTGAATTAAAATGATAGTTTATAATGACATCTGTCATAAAATGAAACAATGGAAATTTTAAAAACGGGCTCTAATGTCCCCCTTATTAAGAGTTGAAATAGTTATCACATCCTTTACACTTTTCTGAAAAAAATGTGAGCTGTGGATGGTACCATAGGCCATAGCTACTGTAGATGCATTGACTCCTCACCAGTGTTTTTTATTTGAATATTTTAAAAGATAAAGTACACAAATGACAACAGAACTCTACAGGGTTTCCCTATACCCAACAGCCATCCTTTGAATCTTGTAGAGAAAGTGATTTTCCTTTATGGGGTAACTGATTATCATTCCTCTACAAAGGAGTAGGTTTAGTCCTGTTACCATGAGAGTGTAATGCAAACAGTTTACCTTATATGTGTGCTTATACATATGCACACACACACACACACACACACACACACACACACACACACACACACACACACACACACACACACACACACACACACACACACACACACACACACACACACACACACACACACACACACACACACACACACACACACACACACACACACACACACACACACACACACACACACACATATATATATACATATATATATATATATATAATATATATATATATAATATAATATATATTATATATATATATATATATATATATATATATATATATATATATATATATACATACATATATATACACACACATATATTCTTTGTAAATTACACCCCTTGTGATGCATGCTTTACATTTTATGCTCTTCTTTGTAAGGGAGAACAGGACATGTAATGCTCTGATTGGCTATTGTTTTATATAAAAGGGGTAATATTTAGCACATAAATCATTTGCTTGATACCCCTGGAAGATGTCATGCTCCAAAGATATGCATTCTCTTGCTGCTTATGTAACATTCACTCTAGTTTAAATGATCAATCTCCTCATGTTAGTTACTCAGATTGTTATATAGTACCCTGCCAGTGTGACTAATAAACTGTGACACACAAAAGGGAATTACAGAAGCCATGGAAGTAGTAGCATTTTATATAACTGCATACCGTTTTGTATTTCATTAAAAGAGGTTTTGTGAAAATGAAGGTAAATCCTGATTTTATCCTTCAGTAAATCTACATTTTATCTCTTACATAGGATGTAACATACATAATTTATTATAATTTGCATAATCAGGTTACAAGAAATTTGATGCAGCAACTAAAATCAACATCATGCATCTCTGAATATGAAAAGATGTTAGTCATGTTTTGAATACAAAAGATACAAAAAGAAATCATTTCACTTAGTTGATGTGGTGCAGTGAGTGCAACCAAAAATTTCCTGGATCCATTGGATCAGTGTTCACCCCATATCTTTCTGCACTTTTTTGTAAATGCAGTATTGAAGGACAGCAGGCTAGTTCGAGACAAACTGTCCAAAAAAGCAATTTCCTCTAAATCTTGCAGGTCATACATATGCTTTTTCAAATTCAAAAATGTTATCTTTTAGGGTAGTTTTGCAGAACACTTGTACTGGACCCCACGTGATACCATTTTTTGGTTATCATTTGATAACATAATCATGTGCGGTGCCATTTTGTTTCTCATGAAATTGGTGAGATGTGTAGGGTCTTTTTAAAAAAAATTGACATGTTTTTGTAAAACCAACTTCAGAAAACTGGCTTTTGTGTAATATGTTGGGCAGTGGAAATTGAAGGTCAGATCCTGGGAATGTTGGCCTGAAAAACATTTTTATCTAACCTATCCTTTCTTAGAACCACACTTGACTTCAAAAGGTTAAGTTCTATCAGTTAGTTTTTTCTCTAATTGTTTCTTAAAATTGCCCCCCCCCCTCTTGCTCTCTTTTTTTATATTTTGAAGCTTTTTCCAGCTTTTGAAGGAAATGGATATAGCATGTTGAAGAACTAAGAAGCAGCACCCAGAAAATTGGTGTAAAAAGAAATATGAATACAAACTGTAAGATAAATTACCCATTTATCAACAAAATTTTAAGTTTTTGAAATGCATAGATGGCTCTCCAAATGTTTAGTCATTTAGGAATCATTTGTGGGCCCACTTGATATCACTTGTTTACCTTGTTCCTTGAATTTTTCAAGAACAAAAACTTTATTCTTTAAAAATCGAGGAATGGGCTAAACAGGTTAGGTCAAATGAGTTAAAATTGGCTAATAGGTCCAAATTGGCAAAACTAACTGCAGTGGATAATGCATGTACCTAGTAGCAATGGGTCAATACTTAGCAGTACTGGGTATTCCCCTACCAACTGTAGGAACCACTCCCAAGTCAAATCTCAAGTTTTGGCAAGCAGGAAAACAAAAGCCACAAGGATAAGGTGATAAAGGATGAGAGAAATCCTGCAACAGTGATAAGAGAAGCACTGCAGTGATAAGAGAAACACTAAAACTGTTGGAGTCTTTTGTTGAAACGAAACTTTGAACTCTGAAGTAGTAGTATTTGAGGGGGGGGGGGGGGGATAAAAGCTACTAGAAAAAAATGCCCTAAAACTTCAAGCAAAGATGCTCATTTGTTATATATTTGTTTTATTATTCCTTTTAGGCTATACTAAGATTACATACAGAATAAATAATCTTACCAGTGATATTGTCTCTGTATCTCAGAACGAACTATGTCCTATGTCCTTTCTCTTTGCATATGGCTGTCAAGCACATATTATTTACCCAAAGCTAAAACATGTATTTTTGATTAATCACTAACATAATTGAAGGAATATGTTGACTATATTGTTTGTTTGTTTTTAGGGGTTTATGCACCTGTTGTAATTCTGTATTCTTTGTGTTCAAGAGAATGTAAAATTATAGAAGACATTTCTTGTTGAGTAATGCAACTACAGGAGCAAGAAAAAAGAAAATTAATAAAGTAAAATAAAAGGTTGACATCTTGAAATTTATTGTAGGGATCTATACCAATGGGAAATGCTAAAGCAAACTCACAAGGTCCATCCCCTTACCCACCCACCCAATAAAAAAAGAAAAAAAATAGATTATATGTATGGCCATCTTTTCCTTTACCCATTTCCCCCTTTACACTAGCAACACACCCTTGACTCTAGAGTAGCTACTCTGATTTGCCAAATCTCGTTTGAGAAAAATGATAATTAGTGATGTCGAAGGCAGGAAATTTTTTGAAAATGCAAAATATTTGTAAATATAAGTCTAATTGTTAGTTGATTAAGACAAAGAAAGCACTTCAGAGACCAGTTGCCAGTTAATTCTTTCCTGGGAATGGATATGCCATATGGTGTGGCACAATTACCTCCTGGTACATTGATGGACAAAGGGGACAACCTTTACCCCACAGCCAAAAACATAAATTGATATGTACATTTTCAAAGTTATCCATGTATTGCTACAAATTTAACATTTTGATAATTAAAAAGAAAAAGGGAAATCAATAGTTATTCTATTCAGTTTGTCAGCATAGGAGGGAAAGTTGTTACTTCTGACAGGCCTTGTAGATCATTCTATTTTTACTCTTCACACCTGGGTACAGGACATTTAGATACATATTCTGTTGTAGTTTTTTGATGATTAAATGCTGATTTTGTTGCTTTATAAGTATTTTGTTACACAAGGTAATTATCCCAATTTTATCATACATGTGCTCTGGGAAAAATAGGCAGTCCACCCCTGACTCTTTAGGAAATCCAATTTGCCAAGCCTCTTTTAAGAAAAAACAAGAAATTGATGAAAGTATTTGATTTCAATAAATGTTATAAGAATATTGTATGTAGATTTTAAAACTGCAAGCCCTGCATAAACATAAGTATTACTTATCAACTGATCAAGTTAAAAGGAAGACTGAGCAAATTGATTACTGAAGCTTTTAAGATGAGTTACCAGATTTCTCTTACTTGAGATTGGGTGTACTACAGGCCTACCTAAACTTATTTGTTTACCCTGTTCCTTGGAGATTCAGAAAAGGGCTTTGTTTTAATCACTGGTATTATTGTTTTGTTATTAATATTATTACAATGTTCTTAACAATCTAATAATAATATAAGTAAAAACGTTTTCCCGCTAAAAATATCAATAAATGACAGTGGATTATGTAGGCCTAGTAATAAAATTCTCAGTGACAAAGTACTTCTGGAACCACCTGTGCTCTATAAACTGAACTAAGGCAAAACCACTGTGGATAATGTCATCACAGCATCCATGGGCTAATTCCTATAGTTTTCATAGACAAATCCTCTTATATGTTTGCGTGCTTGCATGTATCTGCAAGGATTTATATATGTGCGAAGGAGGGAAAGTAGCACTGCCACCATGCAGATTCCTTTGCACAGTCTCCCACACCGCCCAAGTGTAAAATAAATACTGCTACAGGATTACGGACTATAATGCATAATACTACAAACAATGGGTTAAGATGATAAACTGTATTACTTCTGCAATATCCCTTTATGATCAGGCCTAGTGAAGTGAATAATGGATAAACCAGTTATTTGTTGCTTTTTAATTGAAGTAGATGATTATTAAGTTTTCTTGATATATTTGTGATTGTTAATTAGAGCTGTCTCCCCCCTTTCATGCACAGTATATGTATAAAAAAAATTACACATCTCCCTATTTTGCAGATATTAATTTTATTTTATCTATTTATTTATTTATTTACTCTATTTTTACTAATCTCTGCCATGTCTTGTTTTCAGTGGACCCATTAATCCATTGTCCAGTATGCAAAAAAGGATTTCCACAAGACAGTATATTGGACAATATGTTTATCTGTGAAGCTCAAGGCAGTGGTGACCGAGGAGCTGGAGCATCTGAGGAGAGTTTCACATGTACATCCTGCACAGATGAAGCAATAGCGACTGGTCTATGTACAGATTGTTCAGAATGGCTATGCGATCAATGTATACAGGTAAGTGCTTATGTTACAGTGGTAGTTTGTTCTTTATTTAACTTAGTGCTGTTTCAGAAAATATGTTTTTGTTTTGCAAACTGTTCTTGTTGTGCACATACCCCAAAGTTTCTGCAAATGTGTTTCATTTGGAATTTCAGGCCCACAAAAGAGTGAAGGTAACCAAAGACCACATCATTAAGGGTAAAGGAGAGGTGGACTCTGACTCATCATCCACCAAGACTCAGGCCAAGAGAGCGCTTTTCTGTAACATACACATTAAGGTCAGTGCTGTATAGCTGAAGGAGTTCCTACTCTCCTCCTGATATTTATATTTACTCTCAGGAGAGAAGGTTTACTTTATCTGTCTTGAGGATTTATTACTTTTATTTATTCTAGTCATATTGAAACTAGAATTAAAGTAGGTAAGATGGTTTTAGCCATTCATATGATAGAATTATCAAATAAGTTTTATTATCTTACTGAAACAAGAGTAAAATAATCTTTGTATCCACAGGAGAAGTTAAATCTTTACTGTCAGACCTGTGATCAGCTAACCTGCAGAGACTGTCAGTTGATAGAGCACCGAGAACACAAGTACAAGTTTTCTGAAGAGATGGCAAGCATAACGAGAGAACGGCTAAGACAGTTTCTAATGGATATTCGTAAGAAGAGAGGCTATATAGAAAATGCAAAAGAATTAGTTGGGGAACGACGGCAACAGATTCTTAGTAAACAAGAGTCTGTGCAAGCTGACATAAATAGGCTAGTCGAAACGTAAGTATGAAGTACTTTGTTCTTTGTGATGGTCTAGCATAATTATTATATTTTTACAGGGTAGATTGCCATATGTTTTAGAGATTTTGATATAATTCTAAAATAGGTTTTATACTATCAGTTGATGAATAAGCAAATGCTGATGAATACATGCTACACATGAATATCTTGTGTGATTTATCTGTGGTAATAGTATCCTGAATGTCTTTCACAGTACCAAATAGTATTAGTTGTAGTAGAATATGTAGATAGATATATTGATGTTGATCATCCTATAATTTTTAATGTTATTAAGGTTTTCCATATGCTTTGATTTTATTAGATAACAGTCCTGCTTTATGTCATTGCATTAGTGTGTATCAGTCATTCAAATGAAACATTGTGTGAACAATGATATTAAGCAGTTGCTGCTGGGAATTCCATATTTATAGAGATTTTAGTTGTTAATTGAGTTTACACAGAAATTACTCCACAAGATTGTAGTCATTAAGGATCCAATTACAAGTTGTACCTATCTCACCTTTTTATCCTTTTTCATGATTTTTAGCAAGATTTGCTCATATTAGTTATTGCCATTAGTGTTTTGCTAGCATTATTAAAGTCCTAATCTTTATGATATAGGATAACAGTATCAAT